ACTTTTTTTTTTTTTTTTTTTTTTGTAATATGTGCTGTTGGTTGTGTTTTCTCACTTCGTAGAGAGAAAACCAATCATATATTCTGCTTTCTAGGTAACAGCTGTTGAACCTATAATTAATCATGGCGGAGCCAGTGCAAGCACTCAGCATTTACACCCAAGCCTGCGATGGCTTTTTGGTGTGGCAGCTGTGGTAACTGATATTGGACAAATCCTTCTGGTTGACCTGTGTTTGGATGACTTATCATGCAGTCAAAATGAAATAGAAGCATCAGGTAATTAGTCATTTTTTTACTTGAAACCAAAAATTGAGCATTTGAATGTTCTGATTCAATGGAATGTTTTTTAAAATGGCCTAAAAATTTTATATAGTACAGCAGATTGTTTATGTATTTTTGTTTCTTTTGTTGTATGTTCCTGGGCACTGTGGATTCTTCTTGTATGGCTTATTCTATTTTGTTAAAGGGTTCATGTGCTAAAGTAAGCCTTAAAAAATGTAGGGATGTTAATCTATATCTGTATCTATATGTATATTTAAATAAGCTCTATTTTTAAATAAATCTTGGAATAAGGGCTAAAAATATAAACTCTTGATCCTCATCAGCCAGTATAAAATTCTCCAGCCATGCAAGATCTAAGAGTGTTTCTGGCATATTGTTTATGTTCTAACGGTAAGGCCAAGGGAGAAAAATTTAATAGGAAAAATAATAATTAAAAGTTTCCTAACAATATAACATCCCAAAATAAACTAACACTATTTAAATATAACAAAAGTAAATAGAAATTTCCTCCTTGCAAAGCCTTTATACATCTCTTTTCAAGTGCCTTCAGTTTTTTTAGTTATGAGACTGCTATTTGGTTCATGTAAAGAGAAGGAGCGTTTACTAAAAATATGTTTTACTTACAAGTTTTCAGGAAAGCTTTTTTGTTTTGTTTTTGGCTTTTTTGGGCTTTTGGGGCTTTTTTTTTTTGGGTTTTTTTTTTTTTTTTTGTGGTACTGGTGATTGAACCTAGGGCTTACTACATGCTAACCAAGTGCTCTAACACTGACATCTTCAGGTGTTTGTTTGTTTGTTTGAGACAGGGTCTCACTTTGTAGTTGAGGCTGACCTGAAACTCACTATGTATCCCAAGCTAATCGAACTCACAGCGATCCTTGTGACTCAGCCTCCCAGTTATTGGGATTACAGCATGCACCACCACGCCCAGCTCAAGCCTTTTCTTAAATTTTAGTTTGAAATGGGATCTTATTATATTGCCCTTGAACAACTTGGCCTTCTATCACAGCCTTCTGAGTAGCTGGGATTTTAGGTGTGTGCTCCTATACTTGGCTAGGAAAGGACCCTTTAACCTGAAAAGGGTTTTGACTTTTCTGCATTTTATCTAGCTTATAGCAAATGTAGCTTATAAAAATTGTTGAGTAAAATAAAATTGATAAATTCAAACTACAAATGGTAAAAATGTCTGACCAGAAATTTACCAGACAACCAAATCTGTCACTGACTGACTGACTCTTTATCTGGTAGAATGCCTCACATTTTGTAATTAACTGTATAAGGCTGGGGGACTAGCTCAGTGTTGGGTAAAACACTTGCCCAGAGTGTATGGGGTCCCTGGGTTTAATCTCCAGCACCACAAAACAATAATAATAATTCAAGACTATAACTGTTTTGATGTGTGTGATATATATTTTCTGCAAATGTAAGTTAGCTCTGAGTAAAGATTAATATTTTACATTTTGGTGAAGATACTTTGGAGGTGCTGAGTACTCATACTGTATTATATGAGGAGGTACATGATGAATAATTGCTTCCCAATGAACAGTGGGTTCATGTTGGCAGTATGATCCTTTTTTAAACTTTCCTATAAGTTTTAAAACAGTGTTCAACCAGGATTGGATTTTGTCCTTTAAGAGATGGGTCAGGATAATGCTTCTGGCTACCAGTAGTTAAAAGACTAGGAATGCTGCTTAATATCCTGTATTGTTCAGGCTACCCCTCCACAGCAAAGAATTTTATGACCTCCAAATGATGATATTGCCAATATTGAAAACTCTACTTTAAGCTATTTTAATTAATTGACTTTGTATTTTACCAGTGACTGCAAGAAGGTTTGGTTTGGTTTGGTTTTTGTTTTGTATGGTTGTTCTATTGTAAATTGATTTTAAAATTTTGTCAATATAAAGGGAATTTTTTTTTCATTAACTATTGCTGTTTGCTACTTGAAAATACAGACTGAACTGAAAGGGCAGAATAAGTGTTTAATCTTTTTAAAATACTAATTATCAAAGTGAGAAGTTTGTCCTACTTCCATCAGGTCATTAAGATTGTAGATGTAGGCAGCATGAGTTTTCATCTTTATTTTATTTTATTTTTTCCTTCTGTTTTGTTCTTTCTTGAAACTGGGGATTGAACCCAGAGCTTCTGTCCTAAGCTACATCCTCAGTACTTTTTATTTTTTATTTTGAGATAAGATTTCATTAAGGTACTAAGTTGATTTGGACTGGGCTTGAATTTTCTATTTTCCTGCCTCTGCCTCTCAGAGTACTGGATTTGCAGGCTTGCACCACTGAGGTTGGCTCTTGCACTCCTTTTTGAGTGTCATATTTAAACACAAAACGTAGGAAGTTTTTGACAATACTTGTGTTTCATCTATTGTCATTATTTTTGGTGCTCAGTATGTGTTATCTTTGCTAACATGAGCCCATTTGTTATCTGATGCATACCCTTTAATAAAGATGTACAAGAATTATTTGAATATTTCCTATTTGAAGGAGTCAGCCATTCCTTCAGAGGAGGTTGTAGTTCCAAATATGAATCAAGAAATAATCAGCCTTATGTGTGGTTGGCAGGAAATTAATACGTAAGAGATTCTACCTCAGATAATATTGAATGTGTGCTAAATTTTTTACACAGTTGCATTTTTAAATTGTACATTAAAATGGATGCAGATAAGGATGGCCGTTTTCCAATTCAGCATGCTTTATCCTTAGTTTTATTTTAATTGACATAGTTGACTTCATTTATGGCTTGAATAATTGATGACATTTCCTTTTTTGCTCTCTGTAACTTCTTTTTGTCAGTTTTTTGTGTCTTGTCTGTAGTTTTAAATCTTAACTTGTCTAACTTTTTGTTTTAGACCTTGAAGTTGTAACTGGTATCCCAGCTGAAGTTCCACACATTAGAGAGCGTGCTATGAGAGCTGGGCGTCATCTGTGTTTCCAGTTAGTAAGCCCATCTGGAACAGCTGTTTCTACTCTTAGTTACATTAACAGGACAAATCAGCTTGCTGTAGGTTTTTCTGATGGCTACCTAGCACTTTGGAATATGAAAAGTATGAAAAGAGAGTAAGTGTGACTTCACTTCTTACATGGTTTTTGTTTTCCAGACAGTGTCTTTCCATTGTTGTCCAGGCCAGCCTTGAACTTACCATGTAGCTCAGGCTGGCTTTGAACCTCCTTAGGGGCCTCCCTTTGCCTCCTGAGTGCTGGGATTACAGGCAGGTACCATCACACCTGATTTCTTATTTGATTATTGGTGCTTTCTTTTTTTGAATATATATGTTAAAGTATTTGAAAATTACAAGAGAAAAGTGATTGATCTTGAATAGCTTTTCATTGGATTCCACCGCAATTTGATATAATAAGGAAACGATTTAGAACATGAATTTAGCTTGGTTCTTTCAGTGTTTAGAAGGCATTGCACTAGTTGAATTGTTTGATTTGCTAATGCAGTATACAGGATTTGTGGATGAACTATTTGTATTGTATGAATTCTTTCCAAAATATACTTTATCATACACTATATAAAATAGTTTAATAAAGTGTTCTTTATTGATGGGAAAAAATTTTTCAGAATCAAAGTTATAAAATACTTGTATTTAAATTTTATGCTGTCAAAAACTTCCCCCCAAAATGATTAAATTGAAATTTTCTATCTTTGAAGTTAAATTCTCTGTATTGTGGGGTGAGGGATTTAGCTCAGTGGTTCTGCTGCCTGCCTCGCAGGCACAAGGGCCCAAGTTTGATCCCCGGTTCCAAATAAAATTCTCTGTATTGTGATGGCACATACCTGTAAGGCCGAGGCAGGAAGATTGCAAGTTTGAGCCCAGCCTGGACAATTTAGACCCTGTCTCAAAAATAGAAAAAGGTGAGGGAATGCAGCTCGGTGCTATTAACTCTGGGTTCAATTCCCATTATCACCACCACATACACACACAAGAAAGCCTATAATAGTGAGGGAGGCAGCAAACAGAGTTTTCATTTACATAGATTATTGTTGAGTTAGGTAGATGCCTGTTTGGCACTTAGGATGTTAATTTACACCACCCCACCCCTAGGGCATACTGATGTATTTATCTCACCTCTATTTGCTTTTGTCCTTTTATCAGCTCTAGTTTTTTTAATTGCTTCTAAAACAGTCCTGGAGAAAGCCAGGCTTTTGTAGCAGTGATTTCTTACTATTATTGTTTGGCTAATTATGCTGTTTTTCTTCTTTTTGTGGTACTGGGGATTGAACCTTGGGTCTGGCACTTGGTAGGCAAGAGCTATACACTGCACTGTCTCTTCAGCCCTTTTTTATTTTGAGATCTGGTCTGAGTTGCTCTTACTAGCCGTGAGCTTTGTAATCCTAGCCTCTAAAGTAGCTGGGGTCACAGGCATGTGCCACCATAGCCAGCTTGGCTAATTAATGCTTTTTAAGGAATTCATGGGAACTCTAGTTCTTATTTATCTTCTCTTTTGGCAGTGGGAAACTGACTTTAAACCCAAGTGGCTAAATTCAGATAGTGTGGCGGTTTTTCATCTTTTTGTCGGATACTTAGAGGAGAGCAGTACAGTAGTGTCATACATTGGTATGAATCTTAAGAACTAGATCACACATAATAAATGTATGCAAGTGATTAAGTAATTATCACTGCAGTTTGGGTGGGAGTGATAGGTGACATGGCCATAGTTTTGATGTCTTGTGCCTATGTATTTTTTAAGGTAAGATGAGTTGGCTGTGACCCTAAATCAGCTCTGGGAATCATGTGAACAGTGGTTTCTTAACTGAACATTTTTCCAAAAATGATAACTTAAGAACATACTACTTTTTTGTCTATTTTAGATATTACACACAATTGGAAGGTGGAAGGGTTCCTATATATGCAGTTACTTTTCAAGAACCTGAGAATGATCCTCGCAATTGCTGTTATTTGTGGGCTGTTCAATCTACACAAGATAGGTTAGTGTGATGCATGCAGGTTTTAAAATGTCAAAATGAAACAGTTAATTTATTTTGGGAAGCTTTGTACTTTGTTTCTTTTAGCAAACCAGTGTTACTCTTTCTATATTTAAATGACTATTTTTAAATGTTTGAATAATTGAGATATCAGTAAGAAGAAATTGTGCTTACTTGACTTGGTTCCAATATTATTTCAAAGGGTAACCCAATACAGATAAGTACCCAGTTTCTTGTTAGCTTCAGTAGTTTTTAAGGCCTAATTTATAATTTCATTATTTCCCAACTTCTGTTGTCATGCCTGTCTTTTATTTATTCCCACTCTATTCTCTAGTCCTTGATTTATACAGTATGTTCCTATAGTTAATTTGGCTAATCTTTGTGGATCTATTTTAAGCTCTAATTTTGTTCCACCATTAACCTATGAGAAATCTTTCAGTTCAGTTTCTAGCTGGTTAAACTTACTCATTTCCAGTCTTAGAACAGTTCAGGTATTGGCTTCTATTCATTTTGAGGGTTTCTTTCATTGATGGTAAAACAGTTAAGTTTGTGGTATAAATGCTCTGTTGATAACTTACACTATTCTTAGTAGTTTCTCTATAGATCCATTCTAAGATTATAGATACCTTGAACTACAGTCATTTCAGGTTTTTGTGTTAGATCGCTCTACTTCTGTAAAGAATAAATGAATGAAAAATTGGTTTTCCACTTTTGAAATTTATCAATCCTGTAGAAAATTGAATTGAAAATATATAAACTATCATTAAATTGTATCATAGTAAAATCTGTCTGGTTGTAAATGTAGATCAATGACTTAAACTATGATTCTTGAAGGCCCTAAGTGATAGGGAATAAAGGAGGAGTACTTTGTATTCCAATTATTTTTCCTTCTGGTACTGTCCCTTGGGGTGATGATTTCTGTAAACTTTTAAGTATATTAAAATACAAATTTAAATCAAGAAAAGTAGTATGGTCCCTTTTCTATCCTATGAGAATAATAAACATTCTGTGGGAATAATGAACAAAATAAAGGAAGAAGAAAGGAAGAATTATTATAGAATGAATATATTATCATGGTGTGATTACATGGGTGTCGATCTTAAATTGTCATAATGTTCATTGATTATCATTACAAACATTTACCTGTGTAAAAAAGGTTAATAAAAATGACTGGTATTGAAAGGGGGTTCGCGTGCCCTTTCGGGTGCCCCTTCCCAATTAGGCCACTCATGCACCGAGAGGTCCAGCAGGAGATCTTTATTGTAGGGAGGCAAGCAGGAGGCAGGAAGGCAGAGAGAGAGGAGGAAGAAGAAGCAGAAGGAGAGAGAGGAGCAAAGAAAGGAAGGTCCTTTTATCAGTTTTGGGGTGGGCTATTGCTTATTTATGAGGAGTGAGTTACTTTTAACCTATCACAGGCCAGATTGTTTTTATGGTCCCAGTCCTGCAGACACAGGTTTTAACTTTCCTGGACCACTGTGGCCTTGCCGGGGAGGGAAACCAGAGATAAGGGCATGAGGTCATTTTAGGAGCCAAGATGTACCAGGAGAATGCAGCCTGTGAGGCGGCGTCACAGCATACTTTAACATGATCAATTCCCTAACAGGTATTCTCTTTAATGTTGATTGTATGCACTTTATCCTGTTGACTGGTTGTCAGAGGCCATTTATTTTTGCTTTATGGTCCTATGTTCAATCAGTGTGGTTTGGGGCATGTACTGTGTGCCAGTAACTGCCCTAGGAATATAACTATACATAAGACCAACTAGTTCATCTAGAGCTTATATTCCAGTGATGAAAAGAGAGAGCAGAATAAGTCAAATTAGTATGTGTATTTAATATAACTTCATATAATGATTTTAAATGCTGAAAATAAAGTGGAGAAAGGGGATATAGAATATGGTGGACTACAAGGTATTGCTGTTTTTAGATAATTAGAGTTTGGTCAGAGAATGGCGAGAGGTATGGGAAGATCTGGGAGGGAAAGACAAATATTTTAGGAAAAGCAAAATCAGACAGCGTGGAGTAGTTATAGATAAAGGCAGAAAAATAATGATTATTTGTATATAGTTTGTATAAAGCTTGGCTAAGGAAAATTAATTTTCTCTGACTACCTCAAGCCAATTAAATCAGTTTTTGGTGTCGTGACCTAAAAATTAGAGTTTTTTGCAAAGCTCTTCTAGTGATTCTAATAATAAGTAACCAAGGTTGAAAACCACTGGCTTACAGTGAGTGAAAATTACTGGAGAAAAGAAGAGAGTTGCAAACTGTCTTGGGAACCTTCCCAATACTTAGAGTTACTTGGAGATTAAGCACAAGAGCCAAGACAAGTGTATAATGTCATTTTGGAAGCCATGTAAAAGTAATGTGTTAAGAAAGCTTAGCTGCTAATAATAAGATTCAAAGTCAGATGATATGACTCTGCATAGCTGTATTTAACATTGTGCTCTATACTTCAATAATGCATGGTTGTTCTGATACCTTTACTTTCTTTATAAGCCCTCGTCTGCATGGTCTAAGGCAACATCTTCATTTTAAGTAGAATATAACAAGATGGAGGAAGAGACAAGGAAGAAAGAACATGCAGCAGCAAAGGCCATGTTACCTCCTATGAAAGATCTCTGTAGTAGCCGTGGGATAATTGCTTACCTTTCATTGGCCAGAATACTTGCCCACAGAGCTACAATACCTAGAGCTGTGAGTGAACCTGTGATAGTTCAGTTATTTTAGGTAGCCATATGTCTTAAGACATACCTTTGAAGGAAGAATATTTGAAAAAAAAAATAATGGGTAAAAAGTTATAGCTGATGCCATGTAGCTATTAAAGTATGTAAATGTTGCCTTAATTAGAATTTTAGAAAGTAAAAGTTACTCTTTCAAAGAACTACATTTTGGGTTTTTTTGGTGGTTTTTTTGGTACTGGAATCGAACTCAGGTCCTTGTGCTTACAAGGCAGGCGGCAGAACCACTGAACTAAATCCCTGGCCCAAGAACTACATTTTGTGAAAGCAACCATATAAAGATACATTCTTCACAGAGACAGTTTTTAAATATAGGTTCAGCGTAGTATGCAGAAAATTCAGATGTTAAGCAATATTTAATGTTTTAACATATTTAATGTGTCTCCTCAATTTGTTTCTTTCAGTGAAGGTGATGTTTTGAGTTTGCGTCTGCTTCAGCTGGCCTTTGGTGATAGAAAATGTTTGACATCAGGACAAATCTTATATGAGGTAAATGATAATTACAGTATTAACATTTTCTTTTCTCACCTATTTAAATGTTTTATCTTTCATTTAAAAAGATATTGAGGGGTAGGGATTTAGCTCAGTGGTTCTGCCGCCTGCCTTGCAAGCGCAAGGTCCTGAGTTCAAGCCCCAGTACCAAAAATAAATAAATAAAAATTAAAAAGATATTGAAAAGTTATATTCAAGTTAATGTTGTATTCATGATGTAGAAGTGTACTAGATTAGTGATCCTGAGATGTCCACTTTATTTTACCTGTTTTACAAATACAGCACTCTTCTTCACGTATCAGTTTCTTTTAAAATGAGGGAAGGCGGACTAGACTCAAGTTTGTGGCCTAATTAGTGCCCAAGAAAAACAATCCTTTGTTCCTTTGACATATCAAGCAATAAATCCCGTTACCATGAGAGGGCATGTGCATCCAGATGCTTGGATAAGTACCTGTTTTTGACAGAATTTCTGAGAAAATAGAGGGGTACTGCGGATAGTCATATTTTGCCATTCATCTAGAACAGGCTTTTTTAACCTAGTGTTATAACCTAGTGTTCACTAGGTTTTTTAACCTAGTGAAGATTATATGGATGAGTTTGAGGGACTCCTTGAATTATGTGTGACATTTTTATGATTATACATTTCCCCCCCTGGGAAAGTCTAAGCCGTTCACTACTTAAGGAAATCAGTGAGCAAAAAAAATGAACCTATGATATTTTAAGATAAGAATTTCAATAACAATATCAAAATAGATTTGTTGGCCTAAGGCATATAGATATATAATTTGGTTTGGTTTGGTTTATGTGGTGCTAGGGATTAAACCCAGGGCCTTGTGCATGCTAAGCGTGCACTATACTACTAAGCTACACCCCCAGCCCCTACAAATACAATTTTGATATTTACTCCAACTTATACTCTCAACTGGTAGTACATGAAGGTTCACATGTTTGATATAACTTTAAAAGATTATTTGGTTAAAAAATATAAAAGATTATTTGGTAATTATTTTTTAGTCTAAATCTGTCTTATTATTTGTGCTTTATAGTAAAAAAAAATTTAGATGCTCTTTCAGTCTTATGTTTTCTTTTACTGTGCGAAACATCTTTAAATTTAGAATGCTCTTTTGCTTATAAGCCTGTTAAGGTTTGTGTTCATTTTATGTTATAGGGGCTAGAGTACTGTGAAGAAAGATATACACTGGACCTGGCAGGTGGCATGTTTCCTTTGAGGGGACAGGCTAGTAATACCAAATTGTTGGGATGCCAGAGTATAGAGAAATTTCGACCTCATGGTGACAGGGAAGAAGGCATGAGTGAAGGTTGGTTAAAAGTATTTCATGTGAAGTCTTCATTATAATATTAATGAGAGGTACTGGTTTTTAGAGTTCATACTCCTGGCAATTAAAAATCTTGTTTAAAACTTTTAGTACCGATCATGAATTTATTCCAATCTGTATGAGATACTAGGTATTTCTTACTCTCCAGATTGCTGTATAGAACTAAAAAATTGAGCAATTTAGATCAGTGAAGTACCTTTGTATTTTAATTGACTTCTTAAAACCAAAAGTGGTCTGAAGTAGCTGGTATAAATAGTTTCTGAGTGTTTGCTGTATATTTTTTGAGCCATATATTTATTACAAACATGCTGTTGTCAGTTTGAATTTTCTATTTTCTTTAATGTTATCTCTTCCTGGTAAAATCTAAATTGTGGCATAGATTTTGAGTTCATCATTGATTCATATTTCATCCTTGTCACTAATTGTGACCTTTACAAATTATGTTTCTGAGCTATGTTTCCCCATCCATAAGTGACATAATTCATTATATCTTTTGTAAAGGGTAGGTATGAGGATTAAATAAGATGATGTTATAGGCTCATTCAGTTCTGAGAATGTTCATCCGGGCTGGCTGTATGTGCATCCCTAGCTTCATTCTCAATGATCTCAGTCATCACTGAGATGCTCTCTGTACTACTGCCCATATCTGTATTTGTCATCTGGTTTTCACATGTGCCCTCGCTGTGCCCTCCCCTGCCTGCTCCTCCACCAGCTCGAGCAAGGAAAGTAGCCTCACAGGCACCCCTGAAACACCCCCCTGCCCCCGACCGCCTGTTTGGGCCAGTCCTTGGACCCACTCTGCAGAGGTGTAGGTGTCATAAAGGGTATTTTTCCTTCAGATCTCCCAACTCTGAATATCTTTAAAGAAAGGGCAGGGGAAACCTGTAGTAGAACTATGTGGAGTTCAACCCTGCAAGTTGGGGAACTCAATCTGGGCCTTGCAGCCTGAGGTCAGTCTGAGTCACATGGATTAGCTGAGATCAAGGGACTTGGTTCTGCACATGGCTGTGCACGTGGTATATTATGACAGCAGAGATATCATCTGAAAGAGGCCCTTCAAATTCATTCTTTTTCTTTCTTTTCCTCATTCCACTCTGCAAATTCTTTTTTCTGTCTTCTTTCTCCAACTCAGTCTCTTGCTCCATCACATTATCCCTTGTCTCCCTTTCTGTTCCTGCTCCTGCCCTAACTCAGACTTCTTTTATCATTTTTTCTTTCTTTTTTTTTTTTTTCTTAATGTTCTTTTCTTCTGTCATTTTACCTCACTCATGGGTCAGTAGTTTCATGGGAAAGTGAGCCCCTATTACTGTTAAAGGGATATATTCTTGTCCTTATTCTTGCACTCTTGTCTATCCCTTTTGAATTTAATAGTTTTGTAAGGATTGTATGGTAATTCTGTCTTGTGCTTTCACTTGAAACCTTCTCCAATTCTTTCACTTATCTACTCTCATCCTAACGCTGTCTAAGCTGCCATCCTAAATGGTAAAGATGCCATATTGAAAAGTGTATTCACTGCAAACATATTTTGGGCTGCTCCTTGATTTTAATTTAATTCATATGGTTTAAAGGTAATAGATTAGTAACTACCACAAGTGGTCAATTTGCAAGTTGTGCTTGATCCTATTGTGCTGCTGATTGTATCAATTGGGATAAAGGATTGATTGATTTAATGAGTTGTTTTCTCTGATATTATGAAAATGAGAATGTCCATGAGTCATTAGAGACTCAAAAGCTAAAGTGCAACTATATCAGGAAGATTTAAGTAATAACCCAGAAATTAAACCAAGGACAACCCAACAACAAAAATAAAAATGAGAAAACACTTAAGCAAGACACATAGATAGACTTCCAGTTCACCAATGGCAAACAGTAGGCAAACGAGGATGAAAAGTCTAATAGTGAATCAGCAGGACACCCTGAACCCATAGCACAGGAAGTAACAAAACAGATCAATCAGGCTCTAGAAAAATTCAAAACAGAAATAATTTCCCAGAAAACCAGAGATGGTGAGCAAAATGGAAATCATAATTTGAGACTCTAGAACAGAAACTGAGAAAAAAAATAGATGAGCTCAGGACCATGATAGAAGCCATGAAGACTCAGCATAAGAAAGAAATGGAAACAGTGAATGCCCAACAGAGGAAAGAAATGGAATCCATAAAACAAACATATCCAGGAGATTAAAAACTCTATTGAAAGTGTGTGCAACAGAATAAAAGAATGCAAAGATAGAATCTCAGATATAGAAGATAGGATTGCAGTCAGTGACTGTGAAAAGAGAGATCTCTTAAAAATAGTAAGGGGTCATGAGAAATCGATCCAACAACTCCTAGATGATGCAAAGAAGAATAACATAAGACTGATAGGAATCCATGAAGTAGCAGGAGAAAATACAAATGACTTAAAAAAGCTGTTCACAGAATTAATGACAGAAAACTTCCCAAACAGAGCGGAAGAATTTGACATACAGATAAGTGAGGCATATAGGACCCCAACTAGCCACAATTAAAAAAAATGTATACCTAGACATATAATAATCAAGATCCCAGAAACCCAACAGAAGAACAAAATACTACAAGCAGTAAGAGAAAAGAAACAAATCTCACGCAAAAAAAAAAGCCCATCAGAATCACAGCAGACTTTTCAACACAAACCCTTAGGTCAAGGAGAGCCTGGAGTGAGGTATTTCAAGTCCTAAAAGAAAACAACCTCCAACCTAGACTGATGTATCCTGTAAAACTCTCTTTCAAAATGAATGGGGAGATAAGATATTCCATGACAAAGAACACCTGAAACTTCATGAATACCAAACCAGCACTACAGGGAATTCTGAATAATATCCTAGAAAAAGACAATGACGGTCACAAACACCATGAGGCCAAACAGACCAAATCAAATAGACAAGGCAAGAAAGTAAAAGGAGAGGGGGAAAAAGTAAAGAGTCAACCAAAGGACAAGAACATGACAATAATAAGTCAGAACATATCAGTTATAATCATCAATGTCAGTGGCCTCAATTCACCAATCAAAAGAAATAGACTGGCAGAGTGGATTAAGAAGCAAAATCCAACAACATGTTGTATACAAGAAAAACACCTAGTTCATGAAGAAACTCATAGACTGAAAGTGAAAGGATGGAAAACAGTTTAAAGAGGAGCCCAGAAAAAATCAGAGGTAGCAATCTTATTCACAGACAAAGTAAATTTCAAACCAAAACTGATTAAGAGAAACAAAGAAGGCCACTACTTCCTTGTAAAGGGAACAGTTCAAGAGGAAGAGATGACAATCATAAACATATATGCACCAAATATTAATGCCCCTAACTATATAAAATAAATACTAAGTAACATGAAAAACTAAATAAGCACTAATACAATTGTAGTGGGGAATCTAAATACCTCACCATCACAAATAGACAGATCATCTAGGCAGAAAATCAACAATGAAACACTAGAACTCAACCAAGCTTTTGAATGCATGGACTTAATAGACGTCTATAGAGTGAGTGTTCCACCCCACAAAATCAGAATATACATTCCTTTTAGCTGAACATGGCTCATTCTCCAAGATAGACTACATACTATCTCACAGAATAGGTCTGAATAAATGCAAAAGAATCGAAGTTATCTCATGTATGTTATCAGATCATAGTGCAATCAAGCTGGAGATCAATAGCCTAAGAAACCATAGGAATTTCACAAACACATGGAAATTCAACAACACTCTCCTGAACATTCAATGGATCACAGAGGAAATTAAGAAATTAAACAGTTTTTACAAATAAGTGAAAATGCCAGTAGAACATACAGGAATCTGTGGGACACAATGAAAGCAGTTCTACATAGAAAATTCATAGCGCTGAATGCCCACACTAGGAAATCAGAGTGAGCTAAAATAAACAACCTAATGATGAATCTTAGACTACTAGAAAAACAAGAGCAAGAAAAACCCAAAGTTGGAACAAGAGAGGGAATTACAAAGATCAGAGCAGAAATCACTGCAATGGAAACTAAGAAAACAATACAAAAAATAAATGAATCAAAGAGTTGGTTTTTTGAAAGAATAAATAAAATTGATAAACTCAATGAGGAAAAAAAATCATATTTCCCCAAGGATGGTACATATTTGGAAATATTTGTTGAAATAATTTTTCTACTTCCTATTTTGAATATCTCAAAGTTGCTAAAGTGTTAACTAGGAATGAGGCATGACAGAACTTTTCTGATGAGTATTTTAAAAATAATTTCCTAAGAATGTCAATCTAAGGGCTGGAGATTTAGCTCAGTGGCACCACACCTGCCTGGCAAGCGCAAGATCCTGACTTCAATCCCCAGTACCATGGGGGGAGAAAAAGAATATTAGCCTAGTGAATAAATCTCTTACTAAACACAATAGAACTATATTTTGACAAATGTAATGAACTATGAATTAAACCTCAGTTTGTGAGATCTTGCTGATTCTTTTGGGGTGATTTTACTTTGAGATTTATTCTGATTTTGTTTTTGATCTTTTTTCTTTTCAGCTCTGTCTCCTGACACTAGTGTTTCAGTATTTACCTGGCAAGTGAATATATATGGACAGGGAAAACCTGTTATATATTTGGGGCTTTTTGACATAAATCGATGGTATCATGCACAAATGCCTGATTCATTAAGGTATGATGATTTTTCTCTCCTCTCTCATTGATATGTGTAGCTGATCAATAACAGTAATTTAAAATTTTTTTTTTAGACCAGGAGAGTATCTACATAATTGCTCTTATTTTGCATTGTGGTCACTGGAGTCTGTTGTAAGTAGGACTTCTCCACATGCCATCTTGGATATATTAGTACACGAGAGAAGTTTAAGTCGAGTCGTTCCTCCTTCCTATCCACCTCCAGAGCAGTTTTTTAACCCAAGTACTTTTAATTTTGGTATGTATTTTCTTAACTTTATCTTTTGAGAAAAGTAACATGCAAAATTGTTATAGTTGGATGTATTCGTATGTAGTTCATATGTAAGAATGTCATCTGTATTTTAATGGATTAACGTAATATATTGTATATGAGAAATTTAATAGTTAAATGAATATGAAAATAATATCACTAATATCTTGACCATATACCTGAAGAAGTTTACTATAAAATGTAGTCTGTTATAATTTGTTTGCCTGAGGAGGATTTGTTTTTAGGATAAATTTTGTTGTATTAGAACTACATTTCAATATTTTAAGTAGAATTTTAAAATCTTTTTCAGATGCCACTTGTTTGTTAACCTCAGGAATTGTTCACATAACTTGTGCTGGATTTCAGAAGGAGGTAAATAACAATTAGCAGCATTCAGTATTTCTTTTTTTGTGTTTGTTTTTTGTTTTTTGAGACAGGGTTTCACTATATAGTTGAGACTGACCTGGAACTCACTATGTAGCCCAGGCTGGTCTCGAACTTGCAGCAATCCTTCGGCCTCAGCCTTCCGAATGCTGGGTTACAGGCATGCGCAACCACACCCAGCTTCAGCATGCAGTATTTCTTAATTGAAGTCAGATCTTAGAGTGCACCTGATCATGGATTTAACCTTTAGTGTTTATTTATATAAACTATTATTTCATTTTAAATGGTAGCTTTTGTTAGTTTTTTGGGTTTGGGTTTTTTTTTTTTTGATTAGCAGGTAAGTAGAATCAATTATTAATGTCAGCCTGTAAAACAACAACAAAAAAAAAATACCAATAAACTAAAAACAATTAATCTATTTTTAAAAAAAACAAACTGTCAGCCTGCTAGAGGAGACATTGGTATATTTGTAGCACCTTTATGTGGATGTGGATGTTAGCTACTTGAGCCATGGGAAAAAGAGTGCATGAGTGAATAGTGAATAAGTTAGTGTCTTGCCACGTCCTTTTTCTTTTTTTTTTTGGAAAAGGGGTCTTGCCAATTCACTATTTAACTCAAGCTGGCCTTGACCTCTTGGCGATCCTCCTGCTTCAGCCTCCCCAATGCTAGGATTGTAGGTGTTGACCACTAAACCTGGCATTACCACATCTTTTTAAAAAAACTTTCTTGGTTCTTGTCAGAAAGCTAATAAGGAAATGAAGTAAGACGAAGACATCTAGCATAATGGCCTAGCTCTTGACACACACAAACCAAAAAAAAATAGTATGTGGAAACATACTTTTGCTGGGAAGTATGATGTGCCATATCTTTTAATTGATATTTGTCTAAATGTGACTGTCACATTCATACTTATCACATCCTTTCACATTAGAGACACAGAGGATTGTATATCTCAAGTTTGTCAAGATGTGTCACTTTAGAGAATATAATAGGATTAACATTTCGTGAAAATGTATAAGCTAAGGTAACTTGTTGATACCATGCACAATTAGCAAGGATTGGTTTTGAAAGGATATATAAATCATTTCCCTTGCAGTATCATTCATAATGTTCAGTAGGCATTTTAAAGTATAGTTAATTAACTTAATTCATAAATTCATTTATTTAAATTGAGTGTTGATTGATATCTTTTCATCTATTGTAGACTTTGACTTTTTTAAAGAAATCTGGACCATCTCTAAGTGAAGTCATTCCTGATGGTTATAATCGATGTCTTGTAGCTGGCCTTCTCTCACCAAGACTCATTGATATTCAGCCTTTCAATTTAACTCAAGTGAGATGATTTTGACTTGTATCATTTCTTCCTGTTCTTTTATATGTTAAAAACTTTCTACTATAATAAAAGTCTACTAGGTACTTCCTGCAGAAGTGGCAAAGTAATGCCCACTCTACATGGTCAGTAGCTGTTGTCTTGATTTGGCTTAAAAATCATACTCATTTAAGACCCAGTAGTCCATAAATCACCATGAGGTTCGCTCATCTGTATAGATGCTTATAGGACAGGAAAAATAATCATGACAGCATTGGATAGCATAGACAGGAGCACACAAATGAAAACCACTTTGGTTTAGCTGAGTCTCATGGTCTGTATGGCAACACACTTTGGTTGATGGCATCATTGTTACCTAAGAATTTGTTAGAAATGCATGTTCTTGGCCCTGTCTTAGAGCTGTTGAATTAGAAACTCAGAGTGGAGCCTAACAGCCAGTTTTAACATGTCCTTTAAAAACCACTGCTCTGTGAAACCATTGTTCTCTTATTGGAAGCTTGCAACAATGATTCCAGGTTCCCGCAACAAAAGAAATGATCTAAGAGTCGAGCTTAGTTACAGAAGCCAAAATTTTACTATAGTCCCCTAACAGTTCTCCTGGTCCCAATACATTGACCAGTCAGGAAACATCTTGCAATAAACAGTATCACATGGTGATATAGCAATAGTTTATCTTAATTTGCTTATAAAATCTATCAAAAGAAATAAAATCCCCATCTCATTTTTCAGGGGAGGAAACATGTTTTATTAATTAACTCTTCCCAAGTAGTATTTGTAACAGTGAATTGCTATAAAAGAAGCCTTTTAAATATCAGACAAAATGTAAATGTTGTTTCTGATGGTTTAATAATCACAATTGGAATGCTTGCTTCGGCAGCACATATACTAAAATAATCACAATTGGAATTTATACTTAATTTCATGTCAATAAAGAGAATATTTAATACTGTTAACATCAGGAGATATTTTCTTTTCCCTGTTTAGTCAAGTGTGTAGTAGTTTGCATTAACATTTTTTCCTTCTGTAACTTGTTCTTTTTGACATTCACAGGTGGGTTTTACATTTTTTCCCAGTTTGTCATTCATGTAGTCTTAATTTTTTCTTCTCATCTGGATTTTCTTTGTAAGGGTCTCCATTAGATAAATGTTGATTGTTTTGAGTTGATCTAGTTCAAATGGATATCTTTATTTTCCAGCTATTTCTCTTGTCTGTGGCTCTTCCTTCTGAGAGATTTCATCATTATCTTTCTTTCTTTCTGTTAAGTTTTTCTTTTTATTATTTTAGTACTGATGCTAGTGACTATCTTCAGATGATAAGCAGGGACTGGGTTGTCTGTTTAGGTATAAGTCAGATTATTTTTGTGTGTGACTTCATCCACGGGTATCATTTAATATGATAGACTGCATGTAGACCTTTAAGTAGGGAAACTCATCATGCTCCCCTAAGAGCCGCAGGTGCACATGGCCATGCCCAGCATGATTGACTTTTTTTAATCTTAAAATTTCCTATCTAATTTTCCATTCAGGGTTTGTCTTACATATCTCATCTTAGGAGTTTCTATTTTAATCTCTATATATTTATAGTATAGCTCTTTATGAGTAGAAAATTAGTCTTGAAGTAATTTCTAAATAGATAACTGTGAAAACATGAAAAGGCAGTTCATTTTTGTTTGTTTGTTTTTTGAACCGGGGATTGAACTTGTGACCTTTCGCTTATAGGGCAGGCAGCAGAACTACTGAGCTAAATCACGGCCCTAATTTTTGTATATTTATTTTGCTACTACTTAGCTAAATCAGACTGTCTTGGAATTTCAAGCTATGCATCTATCTACATTTGATTATCATTACATTTAGTAAATCTTCTAAAAACTATACAGTAACAATTGTAGTAGCATATAATCTTGTTTTTTTACTTCTGGATTTCAAGTAAATGACTGTAGTGAGTCTCCATTTAGAATCATGCTTTCTTAGTAACAGCTTCATTGAGATATACTTGATAAGGCAAATAGGGTATAATGCAATGGCTTTTAGTATAATAAAGTATATAATTCAGTGGTCTTTAGTGCATAGAGTTGTGCAGCTCTCACCACATTTGATTTTAGAACATTTTTATTAGCACTAGAACTTCATACCCATTAACAGTTACTTCCTTTCCTTTCCTTCACTTCCTCTCACCACCTTGTCATAGGTAACTTCTAATGTGCCTTCTTTTGTGAATTTGCCTGTTCTAGATGTTTTGTGTGAATGGAATCAGAATATGTGATGCTTTGTGACTGGCTTCTTTCATTTAGCCTCCTCTTTTCAGAGTTCGTCTGTATTATAGCAAGAGCCATTACTTAATCCTATTTTATAGTTGTGTGATGTATAAATACTGCCTTTTCTTTATTTTTTGAGTTGATGGGCATTTGCATTTTGTTTTTTGGCCTGTTCTGAATAGTGCTGTTTTGAACTTCTTCTGTGGACATGTACTGTCAGTGTCAGTTCCTTGAGTATTTACATACTGTAGGTGTGGAGACACTGGCTCTGTGTTAACATATTAAGGAGCTATCACACCATTCTGCAAAGTATACCATTTTGTGCTCTTACCAGCATGGTATGAGGACTCGGTTTTTCTACTTCCTTACTACTATTTGTTATTGTGTCTTTTTGATATATAGCCATCCTCGTAGAACATAGTGGTTTTTTTAGCTTTTTGCTCCTTGTGATCTATTGTCTTTCATTTCTTTCATTCTTTATTTTAATATGTCATTTAGGAAGAGCAGTTTGAAGCCATATTGTCAGCAGCAATTCAGACAAGTTCTCTGGGACTTTTGATTGGTTGTATCAGAAATTGGGTAACACAAGGTAAGACTTAAAATGACGTTCTTTTGTATTGTTTAAATTAGCAGGTCATGTTTTCTAATTTTTTACAAACTATTCACTGTGAGATAACTGTAGATCACACACAGTTGTAAGACATAACAGAGAAAACCTGTGCACTTCTTCATATTAATTTTTTCCGAAGTGATGCAATCTGGCGAGTGTCTAGGACAGTTATCTCCCAGATTGTGTCCCCACCCATCACCACCTGCCTTCCCTTTACCCTGTCCCTAACGGCAATCACTAATCTCTATTTCAGTTTTATCATTTTAAACATATTCATAAATGAAATCCAACAATATGTAAGCTTTTGAGATTAAGTTGTTTCAATAAAATTCTCCAGAGACTCATCCAAATAGTTGTGTGTATTGCTCAAACTCTACACACGTGCAGTCCACACACATATTATCTTTTGTGCTGAAGTGGTTGAGAATAAGTCATGCTTATATATATATATATTTTAGTATTGTTTCCTTCTATTTTTATATTAATTTCCTTGGTACATACATGATCATATTCATCATACTGAATTTGTACCTGCACTACATATGTCTGTCTGCTTGCTTGCTCTTTCTTCCTTTCTTCCTTTTCCCTTCCTTCCTTCCTTCCCTCCTCTCTCTCCCTCCCTCTCTCTCTCTCTCTCTCCCTCTCTCTCTCTCTCTCTCTCTCTCTTTCTTTCTTTCTTTCTTTTTCTTCCTCTTCTTCTTATTTGCCAGGGATCAAATTCAGGACCTTATCCTTGCAAGGCAGGCATGGTGCCACTGAGCTAAATCCCAGGCCTATATATATTGATTCTTTTTTCTCATTTCCCTCTGCTCCCTTCAAGCCCTTTTCCCCTCATTTGCAAAAATTTTGTTTACATTTTTTCTATTATTTTTTTCTTTTCATTTTCTTCCTTGAACATTTTGCTGTTTTCCAATATCTATTATCACCTTTATTTACCCTATCTAATTGAACATTTTCTTCCTGTTCCCAATATCAATTATACATTTTGGCCCTTATGTATACTTTCAGTATCTCACACCACAGAAACCATGTGAAATTTGAATATGTGTGTCTGCTTTCTTTCACTTAAGAGTATGGTCTTAAGGTACGTCCATTGACCTAGTAGTATCACAAATTTATTCTTTATGGCAGAGTAGTACTCCCATTGTATAATAAACCCAGATCGTCTTTATCCATTCATCAGTTGATGGGCCCTTGGGCCTATTGCAAAGATGTGCTGCTGTGAACATGAGTGTGTATGTATTGCTGTGGTATGATACTTTTAATTGATCCTCAGGTTGGTTTTTTTGCCAGTACTGTGCTGTTTTTATCAAAGTATCTTTGTAGTATAATTTCAAGTTGGGGATTTTGATGCCCGCTGCCTTGCCTTTGTTGCTCAAAATTGCTTTTGCTATTCTGGGTCTTTTCTGGTTCCAAATAAAGTTTAGGATTGTTTCTCTCACTCTCGCGTGCGCACTTGCGCGCGCTCTCTCTCTCTCTCTCTCTCTCTCTCTCTCTCTGTCCCCCTCTCCCTCTCTCCCTCTCCTGCCCTCCCTCCTCTCCCCATTTCCCCTCCCTATTTCCCCTCCCTCCCCTCTCAGTATTGGTGTCTTTACTGGTATTACATTGAATCTGTATAAGAATTTGTGGGGAAGTATGGCCCTTTTCACTATATTAGCTCTTCTTGCTCAAGAAGAAGGGATTTCTTTCTATTTTTAATCTCCCTTTTCAGAGTACTATAATTTTCAGTGTAAAGGTCTTTTACTTCCTTTGTTAGATTCTTAAGTCTTTCTTATTTGTTTGTTTTTTGGTTTTGGATGCTATTATGAAAGGTCCCCTAATTTCCCTCTCTAGTCTTGGGAGGTTTTCTGTCATTACTTCTGTGAACAGGTTTTTTTTATGTCATTTGTGCTCTCCCTTGGGTTTTCATTGACTCTAGTCAATCTTTGCATCATCTAGCAGCTGTTAGATTGATTTTTCATAGTTCCTTGCTGTTTTGAAGATTTTCTTTTCATGATTCTTAACCAGGATCCTGTCTTCTAGAACTGATATTGTGTCCTCACAGTGGTTCATTTTGCTGCATATACTTGCAACAGAATTTTTAATATCCTGGATATCTGATTGAATCTGTTTCATGGATTCCATTTCTCTCCTATGTTAGATGTTCATGGTTTCCATCATTTTTGTAAGCTCCTCTATTTTTTAAAAAATCTGTATCTTCTCTAGATTCATTAATCATGTCCTTCAATATGGTCATCATCTCTGAAGTTATCTAAGAAATTATTTCTGATTTGATTTTTTTTTCTAGAGCCTCATTCATTTGCTTTGTTACTTATGCTGTTACCACTTTAGAGAGTCTAGATGGTGGCTTTCAAATTGTTCCGCCTCTTTGCCCCCTGGGTTTGCCTTTGGTGAGCTGGAAATCTGTAGTTATATCTGGCTTCCGAGTCTTCTCATTTTCTTTTCTTTTTTTTTTTTTTAGTTTAATTCCTGTGTTGGTGCTTGTAAATTATTTGTTGTAGTTATCTTTATTGCTAGTGTCAAGAAACCTTAGGAAATGACTTCATTTCAGAGCTATTTTCCAGGTATAGCTGTTTTTTGGATTTTGAGTCTTTTGCAAAATCCAACCTCTTCAATTTATTGGAAATGAGAAGTTGCTGCCTGTTTGGCCTAGCCCCTGGTTCTTTGACACTGGCCTATAGTATTGTTTATGACCCTTAAGCAGTCTCAGTCTTGGCTTACCAGGAAGAACAATTGATTAGAATATTATTATTATCTTGGCTAAAGTAGTACAGTCAGTATAACAATAGCATCAAACATACCCTAGAAAATGACAAACTGTGGTGACTTAATTTGCCGCCTTTAACTGTATGAACAAGATTTGTACTTATATAAATCTAAAACAAAATTATATACAGTAAATATCCTCTAAATATGGCAGTTTTACCCTCAGGAAAGAAAATTTTAAAAGGCTTGGGGTGAAAATAGAGGAAGAGAAAAGGATTAAAAGCAAGGTTGGAGGACAGTCAGATTATGCAAGCTTTGGGAACTGGTGAAGACTGGGGGAAAAGAAAGAAACGAAGAACAGATCAAAAACAATAAAAAATAGAAACAATATTCTCATACAAAAACAAGAACAATCAAGAAGTAGAAAAAATCTTTTTAAAAAATACATAAAAAGGCAAAGAAAGGGAGAACAATAATGTCTACCTCAGGATGCATCTCTGCTGTTGCCGTTTGAGCCCAGATCCATGTTGATTGATTACAGCAGGCCAACAGTAGGATTATGACAGTGGTGGATAATTCCAGAAAACCAGGATCTTCAGTTCCACTGAATTTTAGGCTGCTTCTGGTTTCTGTCTCTGAGGCTCAAACCCAAGTTCAGCCCGCAACACTCCTGCCAGCTTGAACTTGCCTGTGCCTCACCCTGACACTTAGAGCCACTAAATAGAGTTAACTTGCTGCTGCTCTGAGGTGACTTGAGTTGTTCCTTTTCCTAAATGGGTACTGACCAATTGCCCACTCCTAGAGAGTGCATCTGAAGCCAAATAACTTACCAACTACTGTGGTCCACAGCATCCACTGCTCCATCCCACTGGTGCATTTCACCATAAAGGCCTTGGGTCACCATGCCTCTGCAGGTTCCAGCCGCCCCTGTCACACCTCAAACCAGGGCTCAAGGAAAAAGCTCAGCTTGCCACCTCCCTCTTCTACCTTGTGGTGGCCCATCTTTTTGCTCACATTGTGGGCACTGACTCTCTACTTCAGATTCATGCTGAGTCTTAGGGACCCACTTTCCTCTTCATTCTCTTCCTTTTGTTGCTATATGACAGCATCTGTATCCTAGATATTGAAGAAGCTGTTTCTGTGCTGCTCACTATTCTGCCATCTTTCTGTTCCCTTCTAGAAACAAACAAATCAAGAAAGATTACACCAATTGAGATTTTACCAGTTGTTTCAGCAGTAGCATTTATGCCAATTTTTTTTGATGGTGGTGAGTCCAGAATCATGCTCTGTATTTAGTTTTCACATCTTTTTATTCTCTTTTAATGTGGTACAATTTCTAAACCTTTTTCTTTCAAAGAAATTTTACTCTTTTTTTTTTTCTCCACCAAAACTGTGGATTGAACCCAGGGATACCCTTCCACTAAGCTATACCGAGCACCATCACCCCCCTTTTTTTTGGTTTTCTGAGACAAGGTCTCACTCACTATGTAGTTGAGACTGATCTGGAACTCACTGTGTAGCCCAGTCTGGTCTTGAACTCACAGCGATCCTCCTGCCTCAGCCTCCCAAGTGCTGGGATTACAGGCGTGCACCACCATGCGGGCTCAAACTCCCTTTTTGAGACAAGTTCTTGTTCTGTTCCCCAGGCTGGCCTCAAAGGAAGCAGTCTTCCTGCCTTAGCCTTCTGAGTAGAGTAGCTGGGGCTATAAGAAAGCATCACTGTGCTCACCTGAAATTTGACTTCTTCAAAGAATGTGTAGGCTTGATAGCCCACCTTTCAGTTTATATTTAATGATCTCTCTTCATGATAAGCTCAAGTTGCATTTTTTAAAGGTTTACTATAGAAAATTGTGTGTTCCCAGCCAGGCATGGTGGTGCACGCCTGTAATCCCAGCAGTTGGGAGGCTGAGGCAGGAGGATTGATGTGAGTTCGAGACCAGCCTGGGTTACACAGTGAGTTTTAGAGCTGTCTGAACTACATTGTGAGACCCTGTCTCAAAAAATCAAAAAAAAAGAAGAAAGAAAGAAAATTATATGCAGAATGAGAAAGTAGATTCATTCATAGGTAAATGGGTACATTTTGAGGATATACTCCTAAGTGAAATAAGTCACACATATACAAATACCAAATAGTTTCTCTGGTGTGAAAAACTAAAATAGTACTCAAGATCCTAACAGGACAATTAGCAATGTGAAATAGGAAGAAAAGGACCAAAGGTGTAGGGACGATGAGAAGTAAAAATGAAAAATGAGAACCAAGACCTGGCATGTAAAGGTACAAGCTCCCAGTAATGAATGTAACTGTACCGTCTACCTAGAATGTACCAATAAATTCAGTTTAATTTAAAAAAAAAGATTATATGCTCCCTGATGAAATTCACTCAGGATACATTTTATTTATATTGTCTACATTAATGTTGGTGTTTCCTTTGAGAACTTGGTTTAAAAATGAGAACCAAGACCTGGCATGTAAAGGTACAAGCTCCCAGTAATGAATGTAACTGTACCGTCTACCTAGAATGTACCAATAAATTCAGTTTAATTTAAAAAAAAAGATTATATGCTCCCTGATGAAATTCACTCAGGATACATTTTATTTATATTGTCTACATTAATGTTGGTGTTTCCTTTGAGAACTTGGTTTAAGTGCTACCTTCCAGGTGTCCCCACTGGAAAGTTACTAGTTTTCTGTTTGTGATTGATAATATTATGTATTTTTTTACTTTCATATTTCCAAATAAGAACAACCAAATTCTGCTGTTAATTTGCGCTTTATTCTTGAGTGGACATGGAATAAAGTGGTTATCACAAAAGAGGAATTTGACAGACTGTGTAAGTATTATCTGGATTTAAGGCAAAAACTGTTAGTAAAATACTAATCTTGGGTTATAATTCCATAATAATTTTTAATCATTTTTAAAGTTGTAAATGCTTAAAATTAAAGAAGTCCAAGAAGGAAACTATTTGTTTTTACATTAAAATGAGGAAAATAATTTTTGATCAAATTTTTCAGTGAATTTTTAAACTGGCAACTTACTATAATAAATAGCAAGGTTCAAAATTATGTCTCTTCTTTTGGTTCTAAGAGTTTAATTTACAAACTGTGTTGATAGAGTAAGGGGGAATGTGCCAGCTAACTTCAGGAACCCATCATTTTACTCATTTTTTATTTAAATAAAATGTTTAGGGATATGAAGAACCTACATGGCAAAGTAAAATTTATCACCTCTACCAAGAATATGGAGATGTGGTTATCATCATGCCAAGTCATTCTTTATAATCTTATTAATCCATTGTATACTTTGACTCACTTTTAAGGTACCCAATGAATATTAAAAAGTCATGGCATCCATTAAGTGCAAAAGTAACACTAAAGTAACTAAGTTCTAGTGATTAATTAGTCATTCTCCACATGTGGCCCCCAGTTCCTAGGAATCAACCTAGGACATCACATATGCAAGTGCTGCTCTACCATTGAGCTACATTGCAAGCCAGTAGTTAGTAATCAGAGATCTATGGCTGTACTATAAGTGAAAAAGTAAATTCTTCTCCCCTTTTCTTTGAGGCCTTATCTCACTATGTAGTCCAGGCTGTTCTTGAACTTAACTATATAGCCCAAGTTGGTTCCAGACTTGTAATCTTCCTGCGTCAGCCTCCTGAGCGCACCACCACACCTGGCTGAAACTTAAGTTGATTTAGATTTTCATTGTGGTTTTTTTTGTTTTGGTTTTTTTTTGGTACTGGGGATCAAACTCAGAACCTTGTTGCCTGCAAGGCAGGTATGGCACCACTGAGCTGAATCTCCAGCCCTGTTCATTATTTTTGTGTCATGGTGAGTGAAGATAAGAGCTTTGAAGCTATTTAAAGTGTAAAAGTAACACAAGTTATTCTTAGTAGAGGATTTTTAAGCCAGGAAAATTTGACAGGAATACATGGTTCTATAATATTTTTATGTCATAATTAGAAAACTATAAAGATAGAATTATTACTTTTTAAATGTTTTAGTAACCACTTAGCACAGTTGAGGTCTGGAAGAATGCTTGATAATTCAGGTAAGGTAAAAATGCATTTAAGAGGAAAATGTCAGAGCTGATTACATAGGTTTTATTAAAAAAAGAAAAAAATTAGTTCAAATCAATTTATAAATGGTATGATTCCTGTTTTGAGCATAATGTGGTATAATGTAGAATTGGTAGTTGAACTACTGTTGAAGCCTTGAGCTTCTTTGCTGATTAATTGAGATTTTTTTTAAAAAGGTTTATAACCTCTAAGGATAATAAACAACATAAGTGTTTTTAATGTATTGGAAGTAAACTACACATGGATTTGAAGGATGTTAGAGTTAAGATAATTACTGTGTAGACCAATCCCACACTAAATAGTGCTGTGATTAAATTGGTTATTAGATATCTTGTTATATGTAATGGTTATGAAGAAAATCTCTAGATCTATATTATTTGAGTTCACATTCTCATTCTGATTCTTGCTGGTTTTAAATTGAGGCATATTTGTAGGTTCCTTGAGGACAATTGCTATTTCTCGCATGTCTTGGAAATCTCATAATATATGGAGTAATTCTTTTGAGTATTATTTTAGAAAGTCTGCACTTGTGGCTCTAATTCAGATTTACTGTGTGAAAATAATCTTGTATTTTATCCTTAAAAAGGTACACCATTATTTGATGGATCATGTCGCTTCATTGATCCACAAACTATACAGTCTATGCAGCAGTGTCACTTGCTTTTTAGCAATCTTAAGACAATTTTAAGCTGTTTTGTAACAGAAGCCCAAGTGATCACTGAGAGAGGTATGTATGCTCTTTGTTTTCTATAAATGAGTGTTTTACTTCTTGACTTTGAAAAAGAATCAAGTTTCTGTTTCCAAGGTGGATCATTGTATAAAGAGAATATTTTTTAAATACTAAAATATATTTTATGTGAAGCTACCAAATGAGCTTGGGAAATTCTGGTGTTAAACACAGTTAAAGTTAATGACTGTTAAGATAGTGTACTTCCAGTTGAATTTTAAAATTTTAAGTTATTTGTATATTTTTATTCATAGAAATGACTGTTTTTTCTCTGTTTTACGACAAATCAAAAAAAGGCTAATTTTATTTAAAAGCCTAATTTAAGCAGTCTATATTAATAATAAAATAGCTTGCAGAAAATGTCTGTGATCAGTGACTTAACATGTATGTTGGAAATTTGCTTCACATAATTTTGGACCAAAATGAATTAGATACAAGCTACATTTGTTCAGATTGTATACCTATTGTTAAGGATTTCCAGGTAATTAATTTGTTTTGAAAAAATGGGTATATTGAGTTTTTTGTTTATTTGCGATTGATAAATTGAAAGTTAAACAACTGATGTTAACTTTTCTTTAATAGGACTGATGGAGCTAAGCAATAAGTATACGGTTACACAGCTCATCTGTCAATATGCACAAATGGTTCTTTGGTTCTGTCATTCTGGGCTTTTGCCAGAAGGTTTAGGTAAAAATATTTATTTAACCTCTTAATACTAAAACTTTTTTTTTTTAATTTTATTGTTCTGTTCTAATGCATTAGCTTCCTCTTTCACCTTAGTTTTCTTCTTATAAACTTACTTTGTATCTTCAGTGCCTTATCCCTCTGTCTGTTACACAGGTTCTGTATATACTCACTGAATCAAGTAACATAAAAGAAAAGCAAATTTTGAGGAAATATGGCTTCTGAAATGAGTCCAATAATATCACTATCTGTAATTTAGATTCATGGAATTGTGATTTTTATTACCTAATTTGCTGATCTCTTTCTTGTTTAGTGTTCTGTTACTGGCATTATTTGCCATCAGTTAAATACTCCCTTGTATTTGATAATGCCAGTACCAAGGATTAGAAGTGCCTCTGCCGCTGCACATACTCATCTACATGTTGGTCTTATTCTTTTAAATTGTTTGATTTTGATGTGAACAAATAATTAATACAATTTGCTTTCAAATTATTGCTTGTACCACGAGTAAAATTATTTAGAACACTTTCTAGTGTTTTAAGCCAACCACCCTATTTGTTAAAACTTCTGTGAGATAATTTTCTCACTTTTACATCTATAAATAAAAGGATGTGTAGTATTCTTGTATTTACCAATTCTGCAGGTTAAGCAGTATTACAAAATTACAGTAGAATGTCGGTTTGTATAATGTTAACTATTGTTGAAATACTTTGGTAATGTTACTAGTTTTGTTTTCCAACTCTTAGATGATGCTGTGCAGTTGTCAAGGTTATGCTACAACTACCCGGTTATTCAGAACTACTACACTAGTCGCCGAGAGAAATGTGAGCGTTTATCAAGGTATTGTACCTCCAGACCTTCAAAACCCCTTTGAGAAATTCTTCTGTAAAAAGTTAAATATTCTCACAACTGATTCATCATGTTATATAAAATAAGTAGGTCGAATTCTGGGTAAAATATTAGAATTTGTTATTGGTGTTTCTATTTTAATTTTGTTTGCCCTGATTTAATAATTACATTGTATTTTAAATTTGAGTGTTCTGTCATTTCCTGAATTAAACTACTTCCTGTGAGTGATTATTAAAGACTGTAATTTAATCCTGTTTTATACTGAGAATTCTTACTCAGAAAAAGACAATATTTAAAAATATATCACCAGAGTTATTATCAGTTTTCAAACCCAGCTTTTTCTTTTGTTTTGTTTTGTTTTGTTTTGTTGAGACAGGGTCTCACTATGTAGTTGAGACTGATCTGGAACTCACTATATAGCCCAGCTGGTCTCGAACTCACAGCGATCCTTCTGCCTCAGCCTCCTGAGTGCTGGGATTACAGGCATGTGCCACCACGCCCAGCTTCTTTTGTTTTTATTTTTCTCTTTTAAAATACATTAATAGACTACTTGCTTCCTTTGAAATAGAGTAGAGGAAGAAGAAAGAAGTATTTAGAGCCTGGGCCCTATCTCTAAAATTAAATGCCCTTTTTCCTATAATCAAACATGTAGATCAGTGGTTCACAAACATTAATTCCAGATTTCTTAGGTTAGAATCACTTAGGATTCGGTATCGTAAAAGCTACACCAGCTATAATTCTGATCCATGATAAATTGTTAGAAACAGTGCTTTAGGATAACCTAGAATCATGAAAGGATGAACTTGGAAGATGGATTAGGCATTTTAAAATTCTAGATTTCTTATTTCCTAAGAGTATGTTCTTGGGTATGTTTGCCACATTTTCTGATGCTATTTGTCATCCAAGTTACAATAGAAACAAAAATTATGTGCGGGCCACCTAGCGTAGTATCTCCCTTACAGGAAAATTTCAAAAAACTGCTGCTACTATTAATAATAGTGGAGGAAATAGTGATAATATTTTCTTATCACATTCTAAGAGTGCAGCAATACATTTTTGGATGAAGGAATCATTAGGGATAAAGACTAGCCCTGGTGATGAATACAAAGTCTGACTCCTTAAATAGCAGGTGTTTTCTACACTGGGATGTCCTGTGCCATGGTAATTTGATCAAGGTTATGAAAAATACAATAGTATTGGACATTTGACTACTTATACCACATTCTTTCCTAGGTCTTAACCTTAACTACTGGATCGCCGAAGACTGAATTTGAGGCATTTTCAGGGTTTAATCTGACAAATGTTCCTTTATTTCTGTAGTTCTCATGATGATGATTGAAGTTTAATTCTCATCTCTTCTCTTTGGTAGTTGGATTGTTCCTTTTTAAAGTTTGTTCCTTGTTTTATTGCCAATAATTATCACTAATATTAATCAATCCTTAATTTTTTTTCTCATATTGCAGAAGGAAGTGGAACCATGATTGCTTATTGATTGATGGGTTGGTTTCTCAGTTAGGAGATCAAATTGAGAAGTTGTGGAAAAGAGATGAAGGAGGCACAGGAAAATACCCTCCTTCTAGTTTACATGTAGGTTTATAATAACATGCTGTCACTTTTAATTGTCTGTGAAAGTTGGGGAGGGAAGAAACAAGCTTGGCTATATTTTTCATACCTGGCACAGTAGTCTGTGGAAAACAAGGGGAATGAATGACTATAAAATTGATTGAACTTTTTATCTTTTTCTTTTATAGGCGCTACTGGACATGTATTTATTAAGCAACATTAGTGAGATGAACAAGCATTATATTGTATCCTTTATGAATTGTTATCAAATAATTCATATATTACCAGAATCATAAAATTTCAGGGTAGTAGGAATCTTACGAATCTAACCTAATCTAATCTCAATGTCATGTTTGAATTTTTATTTACCCCAGGATGTGTTTATTGGTTTCAGATGGCCTATGATTAAACTAAAGCTATGAAAAAACTTTGTTTTTTTGTTTATTTAAGGATATTCTGGACTTTTATCAGATTCTCAAATATTTCTAACACACTCAAGAACAAATGCTCTAAGAACCAGGGTGGAAAAAGAGATTAGCTCAGTGGTAGTTGCTTGGCATGCACCAGGGTTCAATCTTCAATACTACAAAGTCTCCTGAGGCAGGAAGATTGCAAGTTTCAATTTTACTTACGGAAGACTATCTCAAAGAGAAAAAAAAAGAAGCTGGAGAGTGTAGCTCAGTGTTAGAGAACTCTGGATGGTTCAGTCCCCCACAGTAGGCAAAATAACCTGTTTGCTTAGCTGCCAGCTTTTGCCCTGTAACTGGAATTTGATCTACAGTTAATTTTCTGAAGCTGCTGAGCAAGTTTCTTCAATTTGTTTCTTTCCTTTTTTTTGGTACCGGGGATTGAACTCGGGTCCTTTTGCAAGGAAGGCCACCGAACCGCTGAGCTAAATCCCCAGCCCTTCCAATTTATTTCTTTATGAAGAAAGTATGCTTTAGTAAAGTATGTCTCCTCTGAGATGGCAGTGAAAAAATACTGAGAAAAAAATGAAGCTGGCATGAGACTGGGTGTGCCTAGATGTAATAAAACTATTCCCGTAGCTGGATATCATTGAAGGCTTTGAATACAAAAAGGCTTTTGATCTTAAATGCTACATTCTGTTGCTACCTATTCTACAAGTATTGCAGAAATTTTTCTTTGTTTATTGTCCTTAATCCTCGTTTTAAAAGACCATTTATTTGCTACTTGATATTATGTATTCCTTTCCAAACAAAACAGATACTCCCATTGAGTCTTTTCCAACTGCCTTTGTCATTTCCTGGGGTCAGGTTAAACTTATTCAAGGATTTTGGCTAATAGATCATAGTGACTATGAGGTAAGTCTGTAGGAGTTACTAGATTTTAAGAAAAGCATAGGTGTCTAGGTTAAATTTGCTATTTAAAGATGATGTAGTCTAGAAGCTGGGTGTGGTGGTGCACGCCTGTAATCCCGGCACGCACGCGGGAGGCTGAGTCAGGAGGAACAACTGAGTTTGAGATCAGCCTGGGCTACATAGGGAGTTCCAGATCAGTCTCAACTACATAGTGAGACCCTGTCTCAAAAAACAACAACAACAAAAAGATGATGCAGTCTATTTCTCAAGATAATTTAAAGATTCAGTTTAATTACTGCCTTCACCAACCACTACCTAAGGTAGCAAAAAATAACAGTTTCAGAATTTCAGATTGCTTAATGTCAAAATAAGGAAACAATAGTGAAAATAACTGTAATTATTAGAAATATATTTGGGATGTTGGAAATTTGTGTTGTATAAGAAATAGTTACTATTTTATATAATATTAAAGTCTTGAAAGTAGGAGGTTTTTGTGAACTTATTCTTTAAAATATACCATAAATTAGCCCTTTTACGTTTATATTTAAACTGATATTGTCTTGTTTTCTGGGCTTCTTTAATAAAGTTTGTCTTGCTGGGGATTTAGCTCAGTGGTTCTGGCTGACAAGCTCAAGTACCTGAGTTCAATCCCTGGTACCAAAAAATAAAAAAACAGAGAAAAATAAAGTTTGAGCCTGGCGTGGTGGCTCACACCTGTAATCCCAGCACTCGGGAGGTTGAGGCAGGAGGATCACTGTGAGTTCAAGACCAGCCTGGGCTACCTAGTGAGTTCTAGGTCAGTCTCAACTACATAGTGAGACCCTGTCTCAAAAAAACAAAACAAAACAAAACAAAAGTTTGTCTTTTTAAACATTAACTATCTTGTCTAAATGCAAAGCTCTAGCATCTTTATATTTATCACTTTTCATATCACTTTTTTACAGAGTGGTTTAGATCTTCTGTTTCACCCAGCTACTGTAAAACCTGAGTTATGGCAGCATTCAAAGATCCTCCAAGCCTTCATGAATCAGGGAGAGCACAGACAAGCGCTCAGATATATACAGACGATGAGGCCAGCTGTGTCCAGTGGTGGTGATATTATCCTTCACCTCACTGTTTTACTTTTCAATCGGTAAATATGTTTTTTGAAATAAGATAGAATTGATGGAATATACAGCAACATGATATTTTGGTTCTGTTACCTAATATTCTTATGTATCTTTGATCTTTCAATGTTGAGAAAAGGTACAGCATTTTATCTAGAATAAGATGAATGGGAAGTATCTTGAGTAAAAGGGGTATCATTATATCTGTTGCTAATTCACAACACTCAACAGTCTCCTGCGTGGTTAATGGAGAATTAAGTATGCCAAAAAGAACCCAGAAGTAGAGAACGAAGTTGTATAAAGTTGATAAGTCGCATTTTGGGGGAGGTTTTATTTTTAAATTTTTTTTTTTAATTGTTGCTTGGGTATTACAGTTTTTTGCATTTTAATTTTGTCTTTGTATTTGCCATTGACTTCTTACAAAATGGAAATCTCAGTTTACATGATTTAGGGAAGTATCAAAGTTCATGTAAGTCTTGAACAAATGATATCTTATTTTTGATCAAATGATATCTTTACGTTTCTTCCTTTAGCAATATTGTAATGCTCTTTAAATTCATATAATGTACTTCCATTTATAATATATCTTTATATATACCTCTGCAATTATGTTATACATAATTAACAAGTTAAATGGCATGATTGGAAATACATTAGTCTTGTTATTGGGGAAATTTCTCAAAGCTGAAATCCTTTACTAGATTGTAACTTTGTCCTATGTAAGTTATTGGTTTTATTCAGTCCTATTGCTTGATCATTTTTATATATTTAGAAATTGGTCATTTATCCCAAATTATCATATATGCATGAAACATCACTTTAATTTTAGTATCCTGAAAATTAGTTTTTCTTTCTTCTCTTTAGTTAAAAACAGTGTATTTCTAAGTGGGAAGATTTGGTCTCCAAATTTTAGATTAAAAAAGTTTTTAAGTTAGAAACTTACTGTTAAACTCACTGTTGACTTCAAAACTAATAAATTAAGTACTCAATGATAGGATCTGCGTTAGCAAAAGTGTGTGACTAGTTTAATAAGTCTAAGAAGTTGTATTGTACGAGAATTGTTTTATGGCACATATCTGTAATCCCCGTACTCTATGAGGTTGAGGCAGAAGGATCACAACAAATTCAACCCAGGACTTAGACCCTCTCTGGGCTGTAATCAGCATAAAGGTCCTGGATTCAGTCCCCAGTACTGAAGATACAAAATAATACATAGTTTCAATAAGCTTTGTTATAAGAACAGAAACTTTTAAAGAAGTAAATGTGATAATAAATGAATATAAGAAGTTAAAGTTGCTGCATAGGCAACCAGTGTGTAAATTTTTTTCAGTTGCATGCAACTTCTCACATTTCAGTGACATTGAGTTAGTATTTGATCACTAATGCTTGTATCAACCTTGAAAAAGATACACCTTTGAAGTGTTCTCCTTTTTTCCTTTTTTCTTGTCTCGCAGTTTATCCATAGCATTTCTCTCATTTGCCTTAGTCACTTCACATTTCTTCCTTAAATATATATAGCGGACAAACCTAAATAATTTAATTTTTTTAACTATTTCTTTTAAGTGAGTTATGTACTCCCCAGAAAATGAGTATATTAAGTAGAGAAGCAAAAACTCAAAATGCCATTTGTGAAATAGCTTATACTTAGGTTCAGTAAATGTTTAAAAATAATTTCTAGGGTCTGGGAATGTAGCTTAGTGGTGGAAAATGTGCTTGGCATGAAGGAAGCCTTGGGTTCCATCCCAGCAAACTCACTGGCCCCCACCCGCCGTGTTAATCTCCTAATTAGAGTGATTTGAATGTTGCTAAAAAGAACATTGGTAAGACAGTAGTGATAGTTTTGTTTTGAGATGAGAGCCTAGCTGTTTTGCCTAGGCTGGTCTCCAGCTTCTGAGGCTCAGTTTATCCTACCACCTCAGCCTAGCGGGAACTACAGATGCCTGGCTGGGTGATAGTTTTTACTGAAAGTATGAAATGAGTTTGTAAGAAAGCTGTTTAGTTTTTGAATTGATAATTGCAGTGTTAAGCTGTATGTTGTGTAGGAAATTGTGCAACAGTGTGATCTGCACTCCAATCTCATCAGAAAGAAGATTTTTTTTTTTAAAGCTGATATACAGGGACTTATACAAGAAACCAGAGTTCCAGGATATGTATTGTGATCGGTACATAATTACCTGATTTCCTCAAATAGTTGCCTCTAATTCAACACGGTGATAACTAGTAAGAATTTTAAACGTGAGTAAAGGCTGAAATTGAGAAATTGAACCAGAATAAGAGGTTAAGTTACGTGATGATCTTTGCTATCATACATACCATTTGCTGTGATTGCATAATATGGTGGCTGAAAAAGTTCTAATATTTCAAACACAAAAGCACTAACCCTCTCAAGGCTCATTCTATGCTAGATGATTGAAGTATTACTGTGATCAACTATTTATATTGGTGATATTGTCTATTAGTAAACCTAAAACCCTTAAAGGTAATTATATTGGAACAACCACTGATTGTGGCAAAGACTTTAAGAGATATGCTAAAGATGTTAAGAGATAGTCCCTGGATCAAATTGATTCAAATTTAAACCTACACTGTACTACCACTTTCTTAAAAATATGACTAAAAGCAATGAGGTTTGATTTCCTCATTGTAATACAAGGTTAATAATGCCCACCTTTCAATATTTTGAGAGTTAAATGATGCAAGCACTATTATATGGTTGCTTGCAAAGTAGTAAATCATTAGTAAATGGTGATAATGGTTGATCAGCCATCTTATTATGTTGTATTAAACTTTTCAACTTGACTCCTAACTCTGTGCGGGAGGGTCTCACTTTGTAGTTTATTCGGGCTGGCCTAGGCCTCTCAAGTGCTTGGATTACAGACTTGGCCGCCACACCTGGCAGCTCCTGACTCTTTAAATTTAACTAGCTCTTCTTTATCAAGATGTCTTTCTTCTTCCCAAAACTTAACAGTGGCTGCTTTTCAATATTAGAAGCTCTACTTATGGACATACTTGTAACTGTGGCTTCGCTGTTTGCTTGCAAGTTAACTATGATACACTGTATAATGATAGACTTGAGGTACAAAGCCTTTATCCTTCCAGCTGTTAACATTGTTTATTCAGTCTTAATATCATTATGATACAGTAGAAAACTTTTATGTATAATCCTTGTTATATATTCATTCTCTTCCTTTCTGTGACTTTATTCTGATTTTTTAAAATTTAAGTTGGTTATCTCTCACTTTCAGCTTTTTTCTTCACTAATATAAAAATGTCAATCTGATTTTTCTGCATATTATTACTTTATATTTCCATTATGATTTTTTCTTTTCCCTATTTAATTTATAAATAATGGGTTTTTGATTGTTGGTTTTCTAATGTAATTGCAAATCATAATTACATGATATGATCCAGATGGACTCCTTAGACCCCTTAGAACCATTTGCCCACTTGTAAGTAGTCAGTATATTGTCCATTTATTAAGTGAAGGGTCATATTTGCCTAAAAGATCAAGTTTCTTCATTGTGTACTTTTAACCTTTTTCCTTAATGGCTTTTTTTTTCCTGTTCTGTTCAGTAAATTACTAAGAGTATACTAAGCTGTGATATTATAAAATGTGCCAATTCTTGAAATGAATATTAACTACATAAATTAAAAAATTTTCAGAAATAACTGTAGCCTTTGGCAGTATTAGGGATAGAACCCTGGGCCTTCCTTGCGTGTGCTCTAACCCCAAGCCACGTCTGTAGTCTGGCCTTTTATTATTATACAGTAATCTTCCTTATCATGAATAGTTGTTAATATAGCCATGTTAATGTTCTGTTACTTATTCTCTGCATACCTTTCCCAATTTTTCTTTCATTCTGGTCACTGGTGATCAGTAGTTATTTGTTGGCCTGTCTACAATTTCTTTTTTTCATTTTAATTTTTGACATACATTTTTTTCTTTTTTTGTATCAGGGATCGAACTCAGGACCTTGTGCTTGCCAGGCAAGCATGGCACTGCTGAGCTATATACTTGGTCCTTTGACATGTATTTTAAATATACTTTTATATTCACTCTGCTGTCTTAAGACAGTCTGTCAGAGGGAAATTTTTCAGCAACCTTCTCTACTGTTTTGCCAAGAATCCCCTATACATTGATTACTGAAATGACTTTGTCATCATAGTCCTGGAGTTTGAACCCAGGGAATGCTGAACTACATCCCAATCCCTTTTTTTAAGGCAGGTTTTCACTAAATTGCTCAAATTTATGATCCTCCTGCATCAGCCTCCGAAGTAGCCAGAATCATGGAATGATTTCTTATATTTAACTGCCAACATTCTAGCTTTTCATCAGTTGAAACCATTTTCTTACTGTTCTTCATAGCATCATGACTTTCTAACATAGAAGCCAGGATAATTATAGAATTTAAGAACTTTCTTGTTTTAAAATTTATCTTTGTGTTGGCAGTTTGGAGGTAACTATGTCTTTTCCTCCTGTGGGGAAGCTGATTGAGAAGGAACATGTTTTGTCTTTTGTTTAGCAGTGCTTTCTGTATGATTATAAAGTTAATATCTGATGAATTCTCAGTACTTCAAAAAATAAAATCATACTCTTTTTATTATATCTGCTAAACTAGAAGTGAGCATCACACTTTAAAGTGAAAAATTTTATAAAAATATATACATGGGCTAGGGTAGGGAAGTCAAGTATATGGAGAGTTTTTGTTTTGCTTTGTTCTGTTTGTTTTTTTGGTATTGTTTTTAATAAGAGGATACTTAGCCTGCTTCAACAGTTAAAAAATATAAATGACAACAGTGAATTTCCAGCTTTCTGAGTAGGTCCCCTGGGGACCCATTTATTAATCATTTTAAGTGTATGTTTCTTGAGGTCTTCTAGACAGATGTTAGCAAAGATACAGCCATCTCCACATCACACCCTTAAACTAGCATCCTGTCTGTGCAACTGCAGTCTGCCTCTTTAAACCTGAGTTTAGGGGACCAAGGCTCAGTGGTTCTGCCGCCTTCCTCACAACCACAAGGTCCAGAGTTTGATCCCCTATACCAAAAAAAAAAGAAAGAAAAGAAAAGAAATCTGTGCCTACTCCAAAACTAAACTGAGTTTAGGCTTCATTTCATAAAAACACATAAAGAGCTTCCTTGTTTTTAAGTGATGTGTGCTTGTTCATGATGTGGATGGGAATACCATTTATTTATTTAGCTCTTTGGTGAAACATTTAGGTTGTCTCGGTCTTGCCATACTAAACACAAGATGATTAACATATTGTGCACAGAGAGCTATTTTGTGCCTTGCCCATTTAAATCCTTTGCCTCTTTTTCTGTGTTGGGATTTTTCTTAACCGATTTATTATTCTACATTACAGACATGAACCTGGTTGCGAGGTGTTTTGTATTTTGTTTTTTGTTTTTTCTCTTTAGTTTGTCAGTTGTCCTTTTACAATACTTGCTTATAATGGATCATTTGAAATTTATTTTGCTGTAAGCACATTTAAAAGATTCACAGCATATATAAAAATAGTGCCATAAGTTTTAGTGTACCAATCCTAAATACAACAGATACCAGGGGGGTTTTTTGTGTTATTTTGTTTTTTATTTTTTTGGTACCGGGGATTGAACTCCAGATCCTGCACTCGCCAGGCAGGCAGCAGCGCCATTGAGCTAAAGCTGTGGCCCACCAGGTTTTTATTACATATTTATTCCTGCATGTGACTTTAAAAATTACTAGTGTGCTGTTCATTTTAATACTTTATTTTTCTTTCTACAAAAATATTATCATTTTTAGATTTTAGTAAGGAAAATGTTAATTTTATTTCTGTACACCTGCATATGTATACCCACCCTTCTGTACTCGTTATAATTGCCACACTGTTGCACCTGTTTTGAAAAACAAGGTAAGCAATTTCAGGTGTAAGCTTTTAGAAAATATCCCTAAATGTTTCACTCACTTGGATTACTAGTGTTTACAAAATCTGTGGAATATGTTCTAGTCCCAGAATAACAAAATTAGCAGGTAGCCCTGACACTCCAACTGTAGGTGCCATTTACTTCTCTGTGTGACTTTGTACCCATAGGAAGTCTCAGATAGTGCTGGCAAAATTTCCTGATGAATTTTCATTGTGAATACTACTTGCTACAAATTTTATCTGTCATGAAATGTTTTTATTTCTGCCCTTACCTTCTACCATGAGACCTATCTGCTCCTCCAAAACTTTTAACTGTTAGACAGATCAATATTAGTATATGTCTTTTAAAACTTTTCTTATGTGCTTAAGTAGGTGAACATTTATGTATTTTGGTTATTGGTTAGTTTTTTGAATATTATAATTACTATTCATCCTGGTAATTTTGCTTTTGTAAAAAATGTAAACGACTTTCAAAGTTACTGTATACTGTACATTATATTTGCTTCAAATAGGGCCACCATTATATCACTATATAGTCATACATGTTTATGTAATTTTGCTGGGTTTTTGTGTATTGTTTTGGTTTTTGGTTTTTGGTATTTTGGGGGTTTTTTTGTGCTGGGGTTTGAACTCTTGCCCTTGTGCTTGAGGAACCAGAACCACTGAGCTAAATCCCAGCTGTTGCTGGTATTTTTGTAAATTATATTTCTTGAAGTGGGATTGTTGCCTTGTATCCTATGTGGGTGTGGGTGTGTATGTTTATGTGTGAATGGTTTTTGTTTGTTTTTTTGTTTTTTGTTTTTTTGTGTTACTGGGGATCGAACCTCAGGATCTTGTGCTTACAAGGCAGGCGGCAGAACCACTGAACTGAATCACCAGCTATAGTTTTAATTTATATAGAGATGTGGCCACGTTAACCTCCAAGACAAGTTAATCAGTAAGGTCTGTGTTGAAAACTGACTTTTTTTTTTTTTTTTTTTTTTTTTTTTTTTGTACTGGGGATTGAACTTGGGTCCTTGTGCTTGCAAGGCAGGCCACCAAACTGCTGAGCTAAATCCCCGGCCCTCTGACTTTTTTTTTAAAGCACACAGAAATCCCTCTGATTCTAAGAGACTCCTAGGTAAGAAGTGTTTATTGTGATCTTACTGCTTACCGAAGGAAATATACTTGCAATTGTAATTGCAGCTGTCAAATGTGATGCATCCTCCAATCAGATCTTGCTGTAGGTTTGCCACAGCATCTGCTGTTAAAACTGTACCCTTCACTTTCCCATGAACACAGTTATGCTTGCTTCCACCCATTTTCTTGCTTCACTCATTTTCTTTTTCACATTGCTCATGCTGAGTGTTAACTTCCTTAAGAGCCTGATTTTTCTCTTTCCACCAGACCAAACATTGACGTCTGTGTGACCTATGTTTGCCTCTTTGTGAATATTTACTTTGTTTCTCAGTTACTTTATACTTAATTAAATCTTTTTTTCTTGTTTTTGCAGTGCTAGGGATGCAATGGCCTCAGATATGCTAGTAAAACACTCTTTTATTTATTTTTAAGAACCTCTTCCCAGCACTTGAGAGACTGAGGCAGGAGGATCACTGTGAGTTCGAGACCAGCCTGGGCTACATAGTGAGTTCAGGTCAGTCTCAACTACATAGTGAGACCCTGTCTCAAAAAAATAAAAAAATAAAAACCTCATTTTGGCATACTGTGGATTGATTTCAGGGCCACATACGTGGCTAGGCAAGCACTATCGCGGAGCTAAATCCCCAGCCTGTTGTTGCTATTTGGAGACAGGGTCTACTAAGTTTCCCAGGCTTCCTGGTTCTTTTAACTTGCATATAAAAGTTATTTTTGAGATTCTGTAGGTAGATGAAATAGCTTTTCTAGAACTAAACTTTGAAAAATACTGGTTTCAGGTGCATGGTTGAAGCCTGGAGTTTGCTGAGACAACATTCTAATACATTGAATATAGAGGAATTATTAAAGCATGTGTATGAAGTGTGTCAGGAAGTGGGCTTAATGGAAGACTTACTGAAGTTACCCTTTACAGACATTGAGCAGGTAATTATCAATGTACATTTATCAGAAATCCAGGGTAAATTGATCATTACAAGTCTATTTGTTCTTCCCAGGAATGTCTAGTGAAATGTTTGCAGTCCAGTGCCAGTGTTCAAAATCAAGAGTTCCTTTTAGTTCACCATTTGCAGCGTGCCAATTATATCCCTGCTCTGAAGCTGAATCAGACTCTGAAGATTAATCTTATGGTATGGTTGAAGCTGTTTCATTGTATGGGATATGAGAGTACGAAAAACTGAAGATTTGGTTTGTTATGTAAGAGCTTGTAGTTAGATAACACTGGCTTATATTGTCCTATACTAGGCGAATTCACTTCCCTTCTGTGTAGCGTTACTTTGAAGTGGGTATTATTACTTAATTCTTTTATACATGCCATTTGTGTCCTGGTGTCTTCCAGATTACACACTTGTAAAATTAGGGGAAGAGATAGAGGACAGCAGTAGGAATTACATAATGCAAAGAACATTGGACTTCAGGGTTTAGTCTGATTCTTAATTTGCTCTGTGTGATTAGGACATACTCTGAAGCTTGGTTTCCTCATCTATAAGTGCTAATATTTATTTCCTTATGAGGTTGTGAAGATTTACAGAGATACACTTTATATCGAAAAAGTTAACATGTTGCCTGTCACATATGGATGCTTAAAAAACTGATAGCCAGATTTTATTGTGAAGAATCCAGGGTTAGTAGTAGGGATTGAGAATTTGTTGATGGGTAAGCAATTATTTAATTTGTATTTAGAGTCTTCATTTTGGAAAAGTGTAGATAGGAGATATATATTCCTAGATACTCATAATTCTATTTTAAGTGGTAAAATCATAACTGTAGCACCCATCATTTTGAAGATTAAATTTTTATCACTTAACATTGTATTCAATAGAATGATCGTGATCCTCGTGTACGGGAGAGATCAGTGGCTCGAAATGCTATGTTAGTTCAATATGGGAAAATCCTTCCTAGAGTCCAGCGAAAATTAGCCATAGAGCAAGCTAAGCCTTATCATGTATCAACATCATCAGTTTTTCGAGAAGGTAAGAGTTCATTGAAGAATGTCATAAATTCTTGGGCTTGAAGAGACTTTGAACGGTTGCCTTTTTGAAATCATCATCTTAAACATAGCTCACTTTTACTAATACTCAAATTTATGTCATACTTTTTTATTGGCTGCTTTGTCCCACAAAGTATAGAACTTTTTTGGAAGTTTTTATAATATACTTAGTATAGAATAAAAGAACTTGAACATATCCTGCCCAACTTCTAGAAATATGTTAGATAATGTTGAACTGTCTCTTAGAAACTCAAATTGTTACATTTCTGCCTAGCTGTAGCTAAACCAATAAATACAATTTTAACTATCATGTCTTCTGTGTTGTCCCATCATTGTTTTGTGTTAAATCTTTTATTAAAATTCTGTTTAGTAGAGGGTCAGGGATTTAGCTCAGTGGTTCCACCACCTACCACCCAAGCACAATGTCCAGAGTTTGATCCTGGGTACCAAAAAAAAAAAATCCTGTTTAGATGTAATTAAATGCTGCATTATTTTAACAGTTTCTAGACCAAAACCATTATCAACATTTCCAAAGAAAGCGGTAACTGGAACAGTGTTAACAAGATCTACTTTCATCAATAATGTGTTATCTAAAATTGGAGAAGTGTGGGCAAGCAGTGAATCTAGAAATAACATGTTTTACCATAGGTATGTTTTTTCCTATACCTCTTAAAATCATGTTAATTCCCATCTTTCCTGGCTATCAGTAACATTCATCAACAGTCTTATCTTCATTGCCATGAAGTTTATGAATGTATGTAAATAGCAACGCTCTTTATGTTGGTTACGTTTCGTAGAATGATTTTTATCTTTAAACTTAAAAGTGATATATATTTATTTTTGTTTGTAAATAATGCAAAAATGTACAAAGTAAAAATGAAAGTCCTTTCATGTAATCATAAATGACAGTATTTTAATCTTTGATGATACATGATTAAAAGTTAATTTTTTTCCTTTGTAGCCCTAAAATTGAAGAACCATCTCCTGTAGTACATTCTTTCCTGCATTCAGAACTTCCTGAGGCATTTGTTGGAACACCAATTTCAAAAGCATCGCAGAAAATTTCTAGGTAAGTTTATTAAATTTTTGAAGATAACAGTGTTATTACAATAATTGCATCTACCATTTATACTTTTTAAAATTTTGCAGATCTTACTTAAATTCTTAAGCAAATTTTTAATGCTTTATGAATTGTAATTTACATTCTAGTACGGTAATTTTAAGAAATTTTATGTCAGCTGTTCATGTGCTTAAAATTTCTGATTAGTGATTTCAGATAGCTGAATGAAAAGCAGCAAATTCTCCTACTATTTCTCCTTGCTGGTTATGAATGAAAGTTGCTTTTATGATTAATGATTAATTAATCTTAGTTGGCTCATTGAAACTTTCTCCTTTGCATTAGACACTGCTGTAATGATTCATGTAACTCTAGATGCAGTAGTACTTTCATATCTTATCTGTGGTATTAGGAAAAAATTAAATTAAAGTTTGATGTCCAAGATGGAATTGTAAGTATGAACAATGGTACCTAGGTTCATGAACTTAATTCTTTCTACCATTCTGTTTGCAAACTGAATTGGATGAGAACCAAGTCAGATTTTCCTGTGAGGTCCACTGAACCTAACGGAATTTGATTCAATTCTCGTCCAAGTCAGTGTGCAGCCAGAATGGTGGAAGGAGTTTAAGTTCACGAACCAAGGCACCACAGTGCTTAAGAATGTTGGACAGTGGAAGGGCAGCATACTTTCCTGTTCCCCCTCTGTTTCTCTTAGACAGAAGCTATCTTTTTCTCGGTAAAATTTTCCTTTAAAAATTTCTTTTAAAAAAAAAGAGAGAAGATTGGATAATGGAAGATGATTCATAATCATCAGTAGCAGAGAACATCAGTTCTTTGTCCTGAATACTAATGCCCATGAATTTGCATTATTTTATAGAAACAGTGTTATCTCAATTTTTGCTACTAAGAATAAGATACTTAGCATAAATTTGTAGCCTAAAAAATTGAAAAGGATTTCCCCCTTTGTTTGTTTGTTTGTTTGTTTGAATTTTTGAGATGGGGTCTCACTATGTAGTTCAGACTGACCTGGAATTCACTATGTAGCCCAGGCTGGTCTTGAATTCATAGTGATCTTCCTGCCTCAGCCTCCTGAGGCAGTGCTAGGATTATAGGTGTGCACCACCATGCCCGGCAGATTTTCCCTTTTTAGATTAAACATGATTGTTTCTCTTTAATTATATTCATGAGATGATATATTTTAAATGAAAGCTGTTTTTTTACATTGATTGGCATTACTTGGCAGTAAGTAAATAGGTAATGTGTTCTGATTAGTGCTGCTTTGAATGAAATAAAATAGAAAATGGGCATTGCATATGTAGTATGGTTAAGTACTATTTACATAATTTATGTTTTCTATGTGTGATATAGAATGCATTTCTTACTTGAATCATGATAGTGGTTAAAGAAAGCCTAGGACCTAATATAATATTTAACATTTCTTCTAGAAAATATTTTTTCTTAATACCTTTTGAAAAGTATAATTTAAATATATGAATCTCATATAAGAAGAAATTTGTCATTTATGGCACAGGCTCTGTTTTTGAGAAAGTCATTCATAAATTAGCACCTTAGACTTAGATATTAGCACAATGCAGAGCATCTAACAGATATGTTTGGAGTAGTTCGGTTTAAAAGTGAAGAAACTCTTAAGTCTAGCATTTAAATACAAATTGGGTAGAGAAAGAAATGAAATTTGAGGAATTCCTAGTTATTCTTGGATTGGTGGAAATCTCAGCTGTGTTTGCTGTAGAATAACAACTAGGAATACCCTGTTACTAAAGTGCTTCTTGGGCTGGGATTTAGCTTGGGTTCTGGTCCCTGCCTCTCAAATGCCAGGTCCCAAGTTTGACCCCCAGTATCCCCCCGAAAAAAATGCTTCTTATACTTATATCCCCACCAGGTAATAGGTTGAGTCGTAAAGCAACTGTAATCTGTATTCCCTTATCACCCCTAATGAAAATCTCTTCAACCTGAAGAATAGAATAAAGCACAGTGACTGAGGGGTTTTTTGGTCACTAGTACATGCTGCACTTTGCTAGATACTCTCAGCTAAATCATATGGGCATTTGAGGGAAATAAAGATATTCTCTATTTGATCATTAGAAAATACAACAAGAAAATGGACTTTATTGGAGGGTTGAGAAAAATGTGTCTTTGCACATTTTCCACTATAAATTGTTACCTGAAAATTTCACTTTAAAGTTTAAATTATTTATTGGTGAATTACACTTTTAAGCTTATTTTGACTATGCTTGATACAAATAGTAACAAGATCAGTTTAGTCATTTGATAAGAATTGGATCCAGGAGGATGGTAGAAAACACTGAGATTCTCTTTTGTTAACAAAACTTAATTTTTAAAATTTAATTTTTTGGCAAAATGGTTTTGTCAGTCTAGTCTTTGTTGCAGTCAGATCTACAAAGATAAAACAAACCACTATGCATTATGTATATCAGATGTAGATGAATAGATTTTTAAATATAGATAAAAATAAATTACAGCAAATGGATTGCTGGAAAACTTTATCCCATGTTCTTTTAGTACTTTCAATTAGTGCCAATTGGTCTTCATTTCAAAATAAATAGTTGACTCATAGAGAAGGCTCAGTAAATGCTGGTAAAAGAGAGGGAAGACAACTGGAATTATTTGTTTTCAAATTATTATGTACTGAGATAATTTTCTAGCCTTTTAAACAAATGGTGGCAGATTTTATTACATTAATGTGGTTGGAGGGCCGGGGATTTAGCTCAGTGGTTCTGCCACCTGCCTTGCAAGCACAAGGTCTCAAGTTCCATCTCCAGTACAAAAAAAAAAAAAAAAAAAAAAA